ATTGCTTGCCAATTTGAATGTCTAAATATTATATGTCTAATTGTCAATTGTATATTTTGATTAATAATATTAGTATTTTAAAATCAATGTACGTATTTAATTTATATTGTCTGGAGTTTTGTTTATTTATCGTGCGATCGATTGGAACTGTCGAAATTAGTAATCGGAGAACCCGAGCCCGAGAGCTGGATTTATTTTCGTGTGGTTGAATCGGGCTCGAGAACCTAATATTTATTAACGTGCGATTTTATCGAGCCGAGAATATTCGTTTGAACCGAAATCGAGCCCGTGAGTTGATTTAATTTTGCTAACCGGCCCGTGAGCCAACTTAATGTCGCAAATTGGCCCAATGGCCCAAAAACCCATTTGGCCCAAGCCAAAAACCAGCCAAAGGCCCAAAAATTCGGACCTCTCATGATTTGAGCGTGTGTGATGTTATTTTTTTTCTGGTGAGAGAAGTTTTCCAACCCTAAGCCTTTTAATCCATCGTTCTCTCATTCTCTCAATAACACACACGCAGCTTTTGCCCTTCTTTCAAATCTGATCCTTCTCCCTCAATCTCGCCCCTCTCCTCGAACGTGAACAGAGAAGAGAGCTCATCGTCTCTCTCTCGCTCTGTTCTTCCCGCCGCTCCTCATCACCATCCTTTCCGTGCTTAGCCCGTCGTCACCCTCTCAGAAAGTTCGTCCGCATAGCAGCCAACCATCGCTGCCTTCCTCCTCCGTCGAGCGCCACCTGCAATTCGTCTCCTCCAGCGCACAGCAACTCACGCAGCGATCTCCGGCGACCCCTTGCAGCGAGTTCCGGCGACTTATGTTCGTCCTTCGAGCAGCCCGCGAGCCCCGACGACGTGACCTCATCCGAACGTGATTTTCCGACAACCTGCTCCTCCTCGCGCCGCCACAACCAGACCACTTCCGGCGACCTCCCCGTCCAGCCTCGACGAGCAGCAACTCCGGCCGTGACCTACCAGCAGCGTCGCCCCTCCTCAGCCGCAGCCTTTCCTCGTGAGACGACGCTTGCCGTCGAGCTTGAGCCCGTGAGTTCGCCTCGTCTTTTTCATTCCGTTTTCCGAGCTCTTTCCCGAGAACGGTACCTAGTCGATTTCGTCTCGTTTAATCGTTTATGTTATTTTCGTATATGTGTGATTTGCGAGACGTGAATATTGTGCGTTAATGTGTTCGTTGTGATTTTATGTAAGAGTTATGATTTTATGTGCCGTATATGTGTTCGGGACCTCTTCGATTTTTTCATGAATCGAACGAGACCTCGAAAGTCGTGTAAGTCGGTGGATATTGGAACAATTTCGAGCCCTTGGTCCTATGAGAAGGCCTCGGACGAGAATTTTCATGTTTCAGATTAATTGTCGAGCTTTATTGTCGCTGTTTTGGTATTTGAATTTTTAAAAATAGCTCGCAGCTCGAAACGACTTGAAATTTTTAGCATGATGTTCAATGTTCATTACCAGCCTTATGTAAAAAATTCGTGATTTTTAGAAGCCTGTTGCGATTTTTAATAATTATATTGTAATCTGATCAGAATAGTGTTAAATGCATAAAAAAAATTCATTCGTGAATAAAATGAGCTGAAATTGAATATGTCATGACTCTGTGACTTTTATATGTTGTGTAAATTTTTTTGAATTTTTGGACTTGATTTGATATGGATAATAATTTATTTATTCAATCTGCTGAAATGTTGTTTGAATTTTTATAAATTGGTTGTTTTATGAAAATTCTGAAATTTTACTGAGATGCCTATTTTATGTGTTGAATCATGTTTTTAAAAGATGAGAATTTTTGGAGTCCATTTTCATTTGGTTTTGATTTAAATTCGATAAACTGCTGATGCTTGTATGAATTTTTAAAAATAGTAGCAGTCGACATTCAGAGCTGAGATTTTTATACATGGACTTTAGCGTGCTGTATGTTGTGATGTAAAATTTTCAAGTTCTGATTCGTTCATTAAGTTCAAGTATGAATTTATGATCCCTTTTTGTCGATATCTTGTTCGAATTTTATAAAATAGTGTATTTCGAGTTTAAAGCTGACAATTTGTGGTTTTACATGTTTCTGGGAGATGTAATTTTGTGTAAATTTTCAGAGCCTAAGTCGTAGAGTAGCTTGACCATCTACTTTTCATGCGATTAATGATTGCTATTTTCGAAACATGATTTTTATATGAAAATTGAGAATCGACTTGCTTTTTGTTTTGATGTGAGTTTGACTTGGTCAATCCTTGGATGGATTTATGTGAACTCCCTTATGTGGTTTGGTCGAGTTTAGTGCTGAGTCTTAGTGTTCCAACATCCACAGGACTTCACGAACTACTTAGTCGAAACAAGTTCGACTAGGTCTGTCTTGTGATTTCCGATTTAAGTCGAGATAGATATTGATTGTAGGACCTTGACATAATGTAGGTGTCTAGAGGTGTTGACCTTGCCTCATTTCGAGATTTGTGACGGTGAACTGTTGCTGCTATCAGGTGGGTACATTTATGATGTATTCCATATTTATTGCACTTATTATTTCGTGTAATGTTTCTTTTGAAAATTATTGTATGCATGAGAACTCTAGTCTAAGTGTCCCGAACGATAGTGCCTTTGACGAATGCATAACAGTGAGAGGTCACCTGCCCGTTGTATCCGGGAGGAGACGCCCTAATCCGTATGAGTTTCGGGGGGGAAAAACATCTCCACTGTCTCCTGGAAAACATCCATGATCCGTGAGTAGTTCGGGGTGGACTCCCATGATCCGTGAGTAGATCGGGGTGGGGGAAATTTTCCAGTTACGGCCTTGCCGATGTTTGGTCGGAAGGTTGTTGTATGTACATAGGAGGTTTGCGATAGGGCCAAGTAGGGAGTTAAACTGTTGGATTCTATGCATACTGAATACTATGGTTTTGATGGTTTAAAATGTTACGCGAGATACACTGTGCGATAATGGTGAGCTTGTTGGTTATGCTCACCCCATTATTTTCTTTGTTGTTTTCTCTCTTCCTTTGTTTTAGGTTGAGACGAGTTGGAGGCAGTGGCGTAGGACGAGCGAGATGGTGGTCACTGTTTGATGATATCTTATGCTTCCGCATGAACTTGTTGCTTATTTATTTGCTTTCAATACTTTGGATTATTTATTTATTCGCCTTCGAACTATATTTGAGTTTCGTTTGAACCTTGATTCATGCTAGACGTTTGAGATTGATTTTGAGATTTATATTTTATGAGATTGTTTATTTTGATAGCTCAAGCATGTGTAGGTTCTTTGGATTGATTGATTGGATGTGTTCATTTGATGTGGTTAGTAAGTAGCGCCCGTTTCTCGATAATTCTTTTAATTTGGATTTAAAAAAATATATATAACTCTGATTTTTATTATATAAATTCGGTAAATTCTTTAAAATAAAACGGATCGTTACAGATAGGGCTGCTGTCTCTTGGGTTCGAGGCACGTACTGTAGAAATGCCCGGGGCTCTGACAGTTGAAGCAGACCTTCTGTTGGTATCAGCACTGTCCTGACTGGTAGCGGCCGCAATTAGGGCACTTCGGATTCTGACCCTGAGTGGCAGGGCGCTCCTCGCGTTGGTCATTCCCTCCACGTTTTCCATTTCAGTTGTCCCGGTGGGAGTCAGCCTTCCTCTTGTTCGAGCTGGAGCCTGGCTGAACTGAGGTGATGGGCTGCACAGACTCTGCAAGAGGCTGAGAAGGAGCTGAGGCAAAGAGTTTCTGATAGTTCTCTAGCTGTTGGGCATGGATAACAGTTTCACCATAGAGAAGGTTTCCCTGGCTAGTAAAGTGCATGCAGAGATCTGGGCGGAGTCCGTCATAGAACTGGGTGGCCTTCTTAACCTCGGTGTCCACCAGTGTTGGAGCAAAAGCGCTCATGCGGGTAAAATCCCGCTCGTAGCCTTCAACTGCAGCGTCCCATTTATTTATGAATAATTTTGGGATTTATTATAATTATTACTATTTATTTTTATTATTATTACTATTATTATTTATCGAATTCCTACATGTCTAAATGCATATTATTTTTAGAAATCCTCCTCTTGATGATCTGTCATGTCGATCGATTTCGTAGGCATCATCGTCTACCTGTATTATTCCTGAAATATGAGCATTTAAAATATTTTGATTAATTGGATAACTCCGTCTAATTAATTCGATAAGTTGGTTTATCCATTTTCTCGTCTATGGTAAATTATTCGCCGTCGTTGCCCCTTTTTAGTTTGTTCGTCGTATCGTGAGATATTAATTTATAGCGTAAAGTTATGTTTAAGTTTGTCATTTTGCTCGATTTTATTTTATTTTTTATAGCGTAAATTTATGTTTAAGTTTGTCATTTTGCTCGATTTTATTTTATTCCTTTTTCGGCCCCTAAAGCCTAAGTGTGGGAGTATTCAAAAACTCATATGTGGAATTGCCAATTAAGGTATAATGTTATTAGTCAAAGGATATCCTCATTCTCCCATTAATGGCCGGTCTTTAGCTTTCACATGCCCTTAGAAAGCCCTTAGAAAGTGAGCTTGACAATGTTAATATTAATTTTTTACACATAAGCATGAAAGAACCCATAATCTAATGCATTGGAGGATATATTATTCACACACTTTCTATCTAGATTAGGTGGATAACTTTTTACCTTTCAAAAGAATGCATTAGAGATGCTCTAAGAAAATCATTTTTTCCCCATACTTTCCTCAATAGCTTCACGACAGAAAATCTGAACGTTTTCACATATCTCTCGGCCTTATCCTTCATCAACAACCTCTCTCGAAATTCTGGTCCAAGAACAAGAAATTTTTCGTGACAGCAGCAAGATAAGTTTTTCATCCCTCTGTCTTCATCGTAATTGCAGTCCAAATCATATTCATATTCTCCGACACATGGGACCCTTTAATCACAAATTCATATTCCTTCAAACCATGGATTTTTACAACACAATTTCATCAATCCGAATCATCATCATACAACCCACAAGTTTCATAAGGAAAATCAGATAAGGTAACCTCGCAGCTGAGAATCGTCATCCCAGCCTCGTCTACCCCGAGCAGTCGCACGCTGCCATCGCCATTGCATGCGTTCAGAAGTACGCCAACCACCAAAGCCGTGAGAATCGGGAGCCGTTTGAGCCATCGCAAGCCTCAGTCGCGCCCCGACCGTTCGCCGCCAGAGCCCGACAGAACCCCGTCGATCGTGGATCGCTTCAGACTCTGGCCTCTCGACCGTCAATACCTCGAGTCGTCGCCTTGGGAATTGAGCCGGCAATCCGTTCGCGCCTACGAATCACAGTCCGGAACATCTGAAGCCAATCGAGTCGAACCTCCCCAGCAACTCCACAACTGCCGTCCGAGAGCCGCTGCCTTCCCTGGGGCAACCGCACGCCTGTAGCCACCCCAAGTCTCAGCCGCGTCCCGTCTAGAAAAGCTGCGATCCCCTGTAGGCGACTGATTGCCACCCCATCCTCTCGCCGCCTCGGCGTCCGAATCGCAGCTCGTCAGCCGCTGAGGCCTCGCGAATCGCGCCGCCGCTCATAGCCTCGGTGAACGACACCGACCCCTATGGCCGGAAGCTAGATCGGGTGTGTGAGGAAGAGGAGGAGATTTCAGAAATTTAGTGCCGAGATAATTTGGGTTTTGCTATTTTCGATTGAAGAAGAAGGAGTGGCGGAGAGAAAGAAGAGAAAAGGATGAAGAAAAAGAATTGGGGGATCTGTAGAAAGGAAGAAAGAATGTGACGGGGAAGAGGAAAAAGAAAACGGAAAAGTAAAATAGAAACAGGAAAAGGGAAAAGAAGGTTTGGGCCTTTGTGAGTTTTGGGCCTTTGTGAGTTTTGGGCCTTTATAAGAATTTTTGGGCTTAGAGTCTTTCAATTGGACCAAATATATTGTGGGGTCAAATTAAAAGGGGATTAAATTAGTCTTGCATTGGACGTCGAAAGGAGCTTCAAATCGATTTCCGAGCTATTATCGATCCATGCCTCCTTGCTTAGACTCCTGAAGCGCGGTAATTATTCTAAGCCGATGTTAAAATGCTTTTAAGAATTTTGCTTAGATTAATTTTAGATATTTTTGCTTAAGTAAGAATTTTGAGTTATCAAGATAATTGATAAAATGTAGGTGTTGAGGAGTCAAGACCTCAACCTTCGACCAGCTAATTGTGTTCTAAGTCCTACCACGATTTTCAGGTTAAGCAGTTGGCAGGTGACGAGGCAGGGCGAGTGGTGGTCTACTTTATTTTACCTATGATTATTATTGCTTCCGCTTTTATGAACTTATGTTGAATTGGGATATTTTTTATTACGTCACTTTGAACCTTGGATTGCGAATTGTCTTTATGATTTTGGAACTTATTGAATGTAAGTGAAGTTTGATAATTAGTAATCATGCATGTACCAATTTTATCTAATGTGTTTGTATTTTCGGTTAAAAGTTCTTGGTAGTTAAGTAGCGCCCACTGAGTTTTAAATTTAATTTGAGGTTTGCGAAAAATGTATTATGATTTTTATAAATAAATTCGATAAAGCTTTCAAAAAAAAAGTGGGGCGTTACACTTTAGTATCAGAGCCGGTCTGCGTTTCTGTAGACTAGTTTATATTTGATTATGTGATTAGACCTTATGTTATGACCACTTGCCTTCGTCACACCGCACTGCTTAAGGTATGAGCTTATATAAGTATCAATGAAAATACTTATAATGTGAAAGTGTGAATTTTGTATTTTTACATAAGTAGAAATGAAATTACTTATGATGTGAAGTGATATATATATATATATATATATATATATATATATATATATATATATATATATATATATATATATATATATATATATATATATATATATATATATATATATATATATATATATATATATATATATATATATATATATATATATATATATATATATATATATATATATATATATATATATATATATATATATATATATATATATATATATATATATATATATATATATATATATATATATATATATATATATATATATATATATATATATATATATATATATATATATATATATATATATATATATATATATATATATATATATATATATATATATATATATATATATATATATATATATATATATATATATATATATATATATATATATATATATATATATGATGTTGTTATTTGGGGCTTAGGAAATCTATTCACCTTCGGTTTAATGTTGAACTCTAGTGATATAGAGTTAAGTTTGGACTCTAGAGATTCCTCGTTGTGAATTTCAGTATGTTGTTATCGAGATAAGTTATGCCCAGAGCAGTTTCCCTTGCTATATAATTATATTCAATGTCTCCAAGTGAGGACCCAGTCAATAAGAACTGGGAATGTATTCGCCCTCTTCGGACCTTTGCCAGGTTTCGAAATTTATGAGATGGGTCGTTGTTTTATAGGCTGCCAGTATTATGGGTGTTTATGGCCTCTGTTCAACCTCTGGTGTCTTATATGTTTAATGTCTCTTGTGTCTTAGTAAGCGTGAGTTCATGCTAGCTCGAAGTATGATTAGTTGGGTAAGAGATAAGGATATGTGTTTATTTGATGCTCTAGCATGTTTGTGTGATTCGATTAAAAGCTAGAAATTCCTCTCGAAAGTGTTGGTAACGCAAAACACTCCGACCGGCTTGAAATCGACTCGTCTTCCTCCTCCCCGCCGGTAGAACGCCGCGTACCTGCAAAGAACTCTCACACCGGGAGGTTTTTCCGGTGAAGAGCTTCCGATGTTAAGTCAGTGTATATTTTCCTCAATTCTCCAAAGTATGTAATGGATAAATCGTAAGTCACAAGAAAGAACTCACTCCTATATATATATAGGAGTGAGATACCTGCCCTAGGAGCTGCCTGGATTTTGGTGAGTTGTCCTACCCCCGCTGCCCGTCCGAACACACACAGTGTACGTGTGTCAGAGGTGTCAGAGGTGGTTATCGCCACTATTGCTTTGCACCAATGCACTCTCGCCACATTTCCTTCTGAGCAAAGGGAGATTATTCTCTGCACATTCCGTTAGGATCTTCAGACTAAGTCCACGCGCTTTCTTACGTTCAAACCACGCTCTCGATTACCCTTCACCTGTCGAGTGCTCGATCTGACCGAGTCCCTGTTCGCTAGGTCGATCATCGACCACTTCTGCCATCCTGCTCGATCATTCCCCTCTTGGTTGATTATCGCTCGACTAATACATTTTTCCCGACATTAAGCTTGCCCGATTGATGTGGGGAACCGGTCTATTCTTTAGGCATATAATATCCCATATCATCTAGACCCCCCCACTCTGGTCGAGTCAGAATGACTCGATCCAAGAATGAACTGGTGTCTGCCTCTTCGATCTGTCAACTCCTCAACCTTCTGGTTGGGTCTTGTCTTCTCCTTTGATCATCCGACCAACGTTGCTCCCACTTCTCGACCATTTGACCAGTTTTATGACGCATTTCATCCACCCTTTATTTTCCATTATTGTTAGCGCGATTTCCATCTGCCACGCGTCCTTTCAATCCAGTACCTTTAATCATCATGTCTCCTTGTGATCTGTAATTCTCCCAGTCGTCGGATCTCGCTCTCATCTAACGGCTATTTCCACCGACCCTTCACCTTATGCCTCTGTATAAATACCATACTTAGCAATTTTTTCGACTTTTTCTCACTTTTGCATATCTCGAATTCCCTTGCGTCCTAACTTATTCCTCTGCAAATCGTGCTCTCTCACTCTCGGCGCCTTCATCAAACATTTTCCGGCAACCGTCTTCTACTGCGACCATGAGTAAGTTCCCTGTGCTCTAATTTTTTGTTCTTGTATGTTTATTTTGTCAATTTCCGGCCTTCTCTGTTGGTTCTCCTCTTTCAAAATCTCCACCTTTCATCTGTGAAGAAAAACCCATTTTTTCATCTTCTGAAACCCTAATCTTTTTCCTTCTCCTCTTTCTCCTCCTTTCTTTTGTTTTTCAGATTCTGCTGCTTTATCGCGCCAAGTCATCATTCCAGCGAAGATGCGACCGCTACGTCGCCATCTTCAATTCGTCGGTCTGTTCCTCATTCTCCTTCTCGCTCAGTGGAGGAAATTTACTGTCCTATTCCCCTCAACACTTTCCGTCCTTCCGATCACACCACCTCTTCTCCTCCGCCCCAACCTCGTCGTCTGATGGATGAATCAGATGATGATGCTCTCGACCATATTCCCCTCACTCGCCGCCGTCGGCCAGTCTTCGGAGCTTCTGATGCAATTGAAGAGGCTCTCGATGCGGCTGAAGCGTCTCGTGATTAGAATGAAGACCATGTCCCTCTTTCTCAGCGCATTATCTCTTCCTCTTCTAAGTCTACCAAGAAGAAGAGCAAATTGACCACAATCTTCTCCTCCGCAAAGGCTTCTTCCCGTGCTCTTATAGCCGGTTGGTTGAATACCGATGAGGTCGGTCACCCAAGTAAATGGGTCTTTGTATCCCCTGGCCCTAAGGACACATACGATTGTCCTCCCAAACACTGTTATCCTTTTTTCGAGATCCAATTCAATCCTGGTGTCCGTTTTTCCCTTTGCCAAGATTTGCTCGATCTTTGCAAGTGGTTCGACCTCCCATTGAACCAGCTCCCTCCTAATGTCATCCGTTTTATAACCATTTTCATTATCCTTTGCCATATCCGTCTAGGTCGACTCGACCTAGACTTTTTTCCATTACTGTTATACACCCTCGAAATCTTCTCATGGGCTTTATCTTAAGAGTCGCAATGATGTCCATTTTATTTCGAACACTCCTTCCAATGTTCCCCGGTGGAAGGATAGGTTTGCTTTTATCGAGCCTAGCCCTGCTTTTCCTTGGGCCCGACTCCATGGCTTAAGGAGCTGAAGCGTGAGCATGCGCCACCTGCTCAAAGCGCTCTGTTCGACCAACGGATTACTGTATGGAACCAAAAACCCGTTGAGTCCCTAACCCTTCTTGCAAACGAGAACCTTTTGCATTTCTGCGGTCTTCTCACCCACAAGTCCTTGTCCTCTCCTACCCAAGAAACCCTCAACCTTATCCGGGTCGAAGATGACCCAGGTATCTGCCATTAAATATGCTCGAGTATTGTTGTGTTTGTTTCACACGCGATTTATCTGTTATGGCTCAAATTCGTTCATGATTTCTTGCAGAGATGCCCGCTATCTCCTTGCCCAAGAGGAGAATTCCTTTGAAGAAGAAAACGACCGAGGGATTGAGCTTGAAGCCCGCTGACTTGACCGCTTTCCTGTCCACCCGCTCGGCTTCACCACCACCGGGCCAAATGACTTCTGCCATGGAGGTTGATCCACGTCCTCCATTAACGGTCGGGCCGGTCGTCGAGGAGACATCCTCGATCGAGCTTCAAGTTGACCGACAACCCGA